TCAAAATGACACTTAAGACCATATATGTCTAGTTCCGGGAGCAGATAGCCCCCACCTGAGCTGTCTCTCCTAAATCAGTCTGTTTCTTCTCTTTCCCGGAACTTACCTGTTATATGTATATGACCTTCATCCCTATGTCTTATCTGTACTCCTTCCCTGTTATTTCACTCTCTTCCTACTACTGTTCTTTGAGTATTTGCACCTAAGCACTTACTTTTTAATGTATAAGAGCACAAACTGTTAAAATAAACGTCAGAGGCTTATTTTGATAACCAACACGTGTCTGGTGTCTAATTATCGCTTCTCCAAGTGCACTTGATACAATTAGGGTTCCCCTGAATATAACAAAGATCAATATTGGATCTATCGCAAATGTTTGATTTTCCAGATTTATTTGAATAAATTCTTGTAAATTAGACGAAGAGTTTCTCCCTTACCCCCCCTTCCTTTTGTATTCCCTTTTTACTTCACCTTCTCCTTTCTAGTTCATATAAACTAATGTAGTTCCAATCTTAGGCTTCTTCAGTTGTCATCATCCTTAGGTTTTTGTTTTAACTTAGTTATAGATTTTTGATTTCACAATGTTTATAATAAAGTTTGCAACTGCCTTTTCCTTTAGGTTTTCCACATATATAATTAAGCAAATTTTGAACCTTTCACTTTCTGTTTATGTACAGAATTATATACTCCGTTTATATACAAATGAAGTTTGTTAGTATTATATATTTTCAAATTACATCACTAATATATCTTTGTAGAATCCCATCACCATTTGTTTTACTCATATGGATTTTTTCATTATACTTGCTTTTGGCGTTTTCCGTTCTTTTTACAACACAGGATGGTTTCCAGTAATGCAGAGGATTTTTTTCCCCCAGTATTGCAGATTATTTTCTCTGGATACATATCTTCTGTCCCTCTGCTCTGGAGATTTTTCAAGTGGAGACCTACAAGTTTTGATCTCTTATTATCCTGCAACAAGAGTTTTTGTTATGAACCTATATCTTGTTATGAACCTATACCTATGTCTCCTTGATCGCCTCTGCTCGGACGCCACTACCTCGTGGCTGCTTTTCGTCTGCTTGTCCGTCAACCCCCTAAACCACG